CGCTATATTTGACTATCTTTTTTTTTTTTTTTTACTTTTAAGGTGAATAGCGACTCTTGAACAACCAACCTTTAATGATTGCTGCGAGGAGCCAGTTTCTACCAGTCATTCTTGTTCTATCAACTTGATGTGTTTTCTTTCTTTCTCACGCCACGTGTCAAGGAGACACGTGTAATTAAAAATGGAATGACGCCTTTCTCGCTACAAAATAGATGATTTTCGTGCGCGATTCTTTTCCTTTTATGCCTCTTGCACTTGCGTTAATTGTCCTCGAGTCCGTTTTTTTATTTGGATATAGAATGATGGAATTTGATTAGAATTCGAACGTAGAATTATATTTTAATGATATCGTTTCGATTCTTTTGGTATATTTTTTTCTTAATAATCTCCTTGAGAGTTTTCTTTTTTTTTTTTTTTTTTTGAGAATCGCGAGAAGAATCTCAAGCAATGTGTATGGAAATTTTTTAACAATATTTATTCAATATTTATTTATTAATAATCTTTTGAAATTATATTCATTATATATTCGAGACAACGTGTAATCGATATCTTTCCAAATATATTTATGATATAATTTAAATTCTGATGTGTTAATTAGAGCGACGTGTCCTCGAGAGCGTTCTCGCTCATCTACGATTGGATGATCAGTCCACAGATCGAAAGTTACCGCCTTCTGCAGAGGGACAATATTCTGGAAATCTTCACCGCCTCTCAATATCTCGGAATTAAAGGTAAACATTTCTCGAGAACATCGTTTAAAAATTTGAAACGAAAGATTGGAACACAATTTTTAATTAACAACCTCGTCGATCGATATTAATAAAAAGAGGAATACAAAATCTGTCAAGCGAAGAATAAGAACAAGAACAGATCGAACATTCGCTCTATGAACAATGATCCTATTTGCATCCTGTTCGCTACCCACCATCAATCTTCTAAAACGCGAGTGCACCGCGCAATATACGTATATTTATAGTCGATGCTTTCCATCGCGCTTTAAAACTTCGATCTTTCCCCCGGCAAGAATGAAAAGTTTCGAGTCGCGATAGGCATTCGGGAAAGTCTCGATGGAGGGCGGCCTCGAGTTTCCTTGAATACGTCACTGTCCAACTCGAAACTTCAATAAACCGTATGAGATCCGGGGTGAAACGGTGTTGCGACCGTGTCTTCGAGCGAAATTCTCCAGCCTTCCCCTCTCTCGAAACTCGCGGTTGCCTCGCACTATTTTTCATATTTTTCGTATTGCGTAAGAGATGGCAAGACTTCGAGCATATATATATATATATATATATATATATTTTTTTTTTTGGCGTTCGATAGAATTGGAAGAACAATGCTGGGCTTTCATCGACAACGACGAATTGTTCAGCGAGGACACCGCGTTTTTATTGTACTTGGAGGCGAAGAAAGTTCGTAACACAGCTGTTATGGAGCTGATGGTGCCGAGAATTATGAAATTCTTCTTGATGTTGGTCAGTACCAAAGACTTCCTCGACTTGGCCGTGGACGAACTTTGCCTTTTGTTGAAGTCCAACTACATTTCGGTCAATAGGTATTCGATGAAGTAAACGAT